CCCAGCTATTTGGGAGGCTGAGGCAAGAGAATCACTTAAGCCCAAAAGTTGGAGGTTGCTGTGAACTGTGACGCCACGGCACTCTATCCAGGGCAATAGCTTGAGACTCTGTCTCAAAAAACAGACAAAAAAAGAAAAGTGAAGCTGGTTTTGATACTCTCTAGGGGTAAATTTATTTTGTCTCTCAGCTCTGTTCAGCCCTAGGTATGCTAAAAAAAGTGAAGGTATCTAGAAGCTCAGCCTAGGGGTGAATTGCCTAATACTTAGCAAGTTTGGATAGGGGTGAATTGCCTAATATTTAGCAAATTTGGATATCATTGGTGACTTGGGTTGTTTCTGTAGACTTGCTCTTATCCTATAGAGTGAATAATTGGCTCTTGGGGGTGGGCTTCTTATTTCTCTTCTAGAGATGGGAAGATTGGCATTCATAAGATTGACAGCACCTTCACTGTCAAGTACTCGGCTCATGAACAGGAGGTGAACTGTGTGGATTGTAAAGGGAGCATCATTGTGAGTGGCTCCAGGGACAAGACAGCCAAGGTGAGGTGGTCTCTCCCTTATATACTGTTATTACCTTCTGTCAATAGGGTGTGGAGAGGGTGGATAACACCTTAAGTCCCAGGATTGGCTGAGCACATTGGCTGGAGAAAGGGGTGAAAATGACAAGAAAGGACTCAGTTATGTGATTCTGGCATGCAGCTTGCCATGCCATGCTGTGTCACTGCCAGCTGGACTAGGAAAGGAGTGGACAGTGGCTGGGAAGCTTGCTATTCACTGGAAATGTGCCGTGAACTCAAAAACAGAGGGCCTGGCCAGCTTTTCGTCCATGATATAAGTTTCCTCAAGTTTGTGGGTTGAGTTCTAACCTGAATGTTTTATTTTAAAATCTCCCTCCTTTTGCTTACTCTCTGTTTAGGGAGGTTAATTTTTCACCACCTTGTTTGTAAGCAATCAGGCTGATAATTGAAATGTGTTTTTATTGCTTCTCTTGAGAGTGATGTGGTCAGTAAGCAGTAGAGATGATGAGGGGGGTGTTGTTTGTTGCATCATTGCCAAATTGCCTAGTCCACAGACATATGCCAAGGCATAAAAGAATGAGGCTGATAAATAGTTTGACCCTTGATTCATGGACTCATCTCTCATCCACGTTTGGGTCAAATGGCTTCTACCTATGAGACAGAGAAGAAATTCATTTTCCAGGCCAGTGTCCAGCAGCCCTAGCCAGGGCCTAGACAGGCTTGGTGGCCCTTTGGGACTGCTGTGGGAACTTTGCTGACAATTCAGTTGATAGTACAGGAAGCCCAGTAGTGTCTTGTTTGTGTATTTCCCAGCATCTGTAGGCTCTGTAGTTCTAACGGAGCAAAATGCTTGTTGGTGTCAGCAAATGGGCATCTTAGATACATAGGGAAAGGACTCAGGAGAAGAAATTATTAATACAATCTTTACTCATTAACTTTTCTGATTCCATATACCTTCTGGTGATTTCTCCTTCATGTAGTAATGTTGCTAACTTATGTAAAAAGAAAGGCTAAATACATTTCCTTCTACTTATGGAAGTTTCTCCACTCTTTGGTGTTTTCTGCCTTATATTTTACATGTTGTCAAGAGAGAATGCACACTAGCACAGGAAGCCTGAGAAAAATCCAGCAAATCTTTTGAACCAACATGGAAACTGAATTTCCTATAACTTGCTTCCCATTCCCTTATCCCGTATTTACTTCAGGTTTCTGCTTAGTCACTGTCTTTGTACCATTCCTTGTAAAGATTTTGGCCTTAACTTGCTATACTGCTCAAAAGTCAATTTGCATAGAAATCTTCTGTGGCGTGTGTGGCCTAGGTATTCCCATCTCATTCTGACATCTTCCTTTCATGGCTTAAGGCTTCCCCTGTTTCCTCCTTTTTAATGATATGTCTTTTTCTATCCTATTCTCTGACACCCAAAGCAGATAAAACTAAACTTTGCAACTACAGGTAGCAATATGAGGGTTTTGACTACTTATAGTTGAGGAATAATAGTAATTTTATTTGAGGTATTGTGTTAGTTTTATGCTTTAAGTACTGATTCAGCCCTATTTAGTGACTTAGATTTTCTAAAGATTTAAAATAGATCCTTCCTTATTCTAAAATTGTTGTCACAGTTCACCATCTTTCTTTGGAGGATTTCTTTTAAGTCTATGACAGAATTCTCTTCTTTGGTTCTTCTTTAACTCCCGAAAGCTTGGTCTGCTGTTTCTGGACTTCCCAGGGATCTTTCTGCCACTTATCTTTTCTGGCTTTCTAGATGCTGCCTGGGTTTCCTGCCTTTCTGTTGTTGTCTTTGCATCCAGCCACCTTCATTATTCTAGTCCATTTCCACATCACTGTACTTACAGTCTGTCTTTTGTAACTGAGACATCATTTCTTTTCAATGGCATCTGTAATTCCACAGCTGCTTCCACAGGCTTCAGAACATCTGAACCTACATAAGAACTTACAATGAGGCTCAGCACCTATAGCTCAGCAGCTAGGGTGCCAGCCACATACACCAGAGCTGGCAGGTTCAAATCCATCCCAGGCCTGCCAAACAGCAGTGACAACTACAACCAAAAAATAGCCGGGCACCTGTAGTCCCAGCTACTTGGGAGGCTGAGGCAAGAGAATTGCTTAAGCCCAAGAGTTTGAAGTTGCTGTGAGCTGTAACATCGCGATACTCTGCTGAGGGTGACATAGTGAGACCCTGTTTCTTTCTTTTTTTTTTTTTTTTGAGACAGAACATCAGGCTGTCACCCTGGGTAGAGTGCTGTGACATCACAGCTCACAGCAACCTCAAACTCTTGGGCTCACGTGATATTCCAGCCTCCGCCTCCCAAGTAGCTGGGACTACAGGCGCCCGCCACAATGCCTGGCCATTTTTTTTTTCGTTGCAGCTGTCATTGTTGTTTGGTGGGCCTGGGCTGGATTCGAACCCACCAGCTCAGGTGTGCGTGGCTGGAGCCTTAGCCGCTTGAGCCACAGGCACCGAGCCATGGGACTCTGTTTCAAACAAACAAAAAAGAACTTATAGGGATATTTGCCAATAACTATCTATAGCCTGTTTTGGGGGGAAGTTCCCCAAATATGTACTGTGTTTTAGGATAGAGATTTGTTTTATTGGTGAAAGGAAATAAGATATTCTCTTTGCAATGCTTCTGAGCTAGAGACTGCCCAGAGAGCCCTCTTCCTTCCCATACTTGCAACCCTAGTTTCAGGTTTACTATTACTTAGCTTATATTGCTTCTCTGGGTTTTAGTGGGGCCAGCCCCATCTCCTGAGATGTGAACAGATGGTAGCTTATATTCTTGGTGGGCCTAGGTTTGTACTGACCATTCCTTCATTTCTTCCCTTATTTTTCTATTCTTCCTTATAAGTGCTTACTGTACGTGAAGCTTGATGCATGAGGCACCTAGGCTTTTCAAAGGTGAGAAAGATACAGCCTCTCTCCTTAAAGGGAGATGAGACATGTGTACACCTGGCTGTTAGGCTGATTGGAAGTGGCTAGGATGTGAAGTATAAGGCTCTAGGGAAAAGGCTAGAAAGTTCAGAGGGTGGAAAGATCACATCTGTCTTGGAAGGGAAGACTTTATGAAGGAGGAAAAAGCATTTAAGCTGCTTGTTTTTTCTTCTTTCAGTCATTTTTCAAAACACAGTTTTGCTTGTTTGTTTTGTAACTGTATGGAATATATCTGGCCACTGTGCAAAGCACTTTGTATTTATTCATTTTCTTCTTTAGGGTAAATTTTTCTCACATAATTAATTGTACTTATATCTTGGATATTTAGTATAGCCTACTATATCTATTTTATAAGATTTTCCATTATTATTACAAATTAGTCATGTCATCTTTAATGGTTTCATAGTGGACTTACCACAGTTTACTTACCATTTTTCCTATTGGTGCATATTTGTATCCAGTTTTTTTCTGTAGTAATAAGAGCCACTATTGTTTATTGCCTAATATCTGCTAAATACTGGGATGCTGTGCTTCATGCTTAGTTTTACTTTTCTACACTAAAACATGAAAGATAGGCATTATTTATCATTTCACATATGAAAAAACCGAGGCTAAGAAGTTATAAAACATCCCTAAGATCAAAAATAATAAGTAACAACTACAGTTCAAACCTAGATTGGTCTGATTCTAAAGCCTATGCATGTTTTTTCTATAACCACAGGCTGCAATTTTAGAAAACTTTTAGTCAAAGGCTTTGGTCATTTTAAGAGACATGATATAAAAAAAACCCAATCTACTTTTTTTTTTTTTTTTGAGATAGAGTCTACTGTGTTGTCCTGGGTAGAGTGTCATAGTATCATCATAGCTCACAGCAATCTCAAACTTTTGGGCTTAAGCAATCCTCTTGCCTCAGCCTCCTTAGTAGCTGGGACTATAGGCGCCCACCACAACACCTGGCTAGTTTTTCTATTTTTAGTAGACAGGGTCTCGTTCTTGCTCAGGCTGGTCTGGAACTCCTGAGCTCAAGCAGTCCATCTGCCTCGGCCTCCCAGAGTGCTAGGATTGCAGGCAGGAGCCCCTGAACCTGGCCGGTGATCTGTTTTTTAAAAGGATAGTGTAAATGTCCATCCCCATGAGTCTTTTCCCAGAATAGGTCTATTTTGAATTTGGCCAGGGAGGGCAAAGATATGATCATTTTGTAGCAACTCAACTCCTGTCCCTCAGGTGCCAGAGACTCATGTTTCTGGAGGATGGTGTGCGGCTGGGGTCTAGGGTATCCTGGGAGCATGAACTTTCCTAAGATCTTGCTCAGAATTGTCAACATGCTTCTAAGCCATTCCTGGAGGCCAGGAACCTTGTTCTGTGGTTTGGAGAATCTAGGAATCCACCAACCCTTTCCATGGAGGACACTTGTGAATTCAGGTCTAGGCTTTTCCCACAGATTTTATGTTCAGAGTCCTTAGTTTCTCTCCACCTCCCAAGCAAGAACCTGCCTCCCAGGAAGTCTGTATCAGGAAAAAGGCAAAGTTTTCTTATGGGGCAGTGTAAAAAAGAACATTAGAAGTGCATCTGGTTATTGCCAAAGGAGGCTAACTATGGATTCCAAAAAGTTAGCCCAAATCATGGCACTTCAGAAAAAGTTGTGGTATTTACCTTTTTAAAATGTCCATCCTCATTCAGGATCTTCTTGTTAAATTTATTTAATTTTCCCTGTATTAGGAAAAAGTTACATGATCATCCTATCCCCCACCCCTATCATATACACACAAACTCTGAGAAATACTTTCTCCTTTTATAGGGAAGAGATAATCATGTGACCCTAAGAAGACAGGACCACCCCCACTCCATCACCTACCCCTTAAACTCAAGGAATGTTTCCTTTAAAGTTCTTCCATCTAAGGTCCTCCTGAGTTTTGCCTGTTCCCCTTATAGCACTGCAGGGACCTTGAGAGGTCATTGGTCCATCTAGTTGCCTCACAATCCCTCCATGGTTGCTGTCTGGGGACAGCCCTGTACATTTGAGGTTTTCTTTCTGTTTGGTTAGAGGCTTATGTCCCTGTATATCATCTAG